TTCTCTTGATTTCTTGTATAATGTGCTTTGATACATTAGAAATTGGGAGCCTGTGATGCCCTCATTTTAATTTCAAACAAAGCAGGAGACTGTGAGGGCTTTCTCATCTAATTTGGATTGAAAATTGTTCTATTTTGGAAGACTCTGTTTAATCTTCTAAAATGAACCAAGTGGTAACTGCAGGTTACGATGTGTGCACTACCATTGGGCGTGCCTCAAGCATTGACATGAACATAATTGGTGAGATTTCTTTTCCATTTTTTTTCGAATCTCCCCCAGATATAAAATTGTATGATACCTTCAGGTTTTCATTACTATAGCTCGAATATGGCATTGCGCAAATATGTATGGACATGCATGCTTTCTGACCAAATTGATTTGGTTTGTGCATAAAATTTTGGAAATTTATGACTTGTTATGGCAGACAGGAAGAATCCTAACACTGGTGTCATTGTTAAGATGTCTAGTAGTGGCCTAAAGTTCAACTGTTCGCTGTCTGTGTCTGTGATTTGTGATCCCAATAGAGTTCAGGCAAGACCTTATACGAAATTATTTGCATAATTTGAAATGATCTAGAATTCTGCATGCTTGGTTAATGATCCAGTTTCTTATCTTTCTATTTTACAGGGGCCACATTCACTTGAGAAAACTGGGAAATGCGACTATGTGAGTTCTTTCAGTTTCAGAATATCTTTCATTCCTCCTTGCTTAGTGCTTAATCTTATATACTATATGATTATACTTTGATAAAGCTGTCCATGGGAGTAGCGATATTTTGTCCATATTCTGTGAACTGTGCAGTGTACACTATGGAGTATAGACCTTTGGCCCTCTGTCTTCAGCTTTTGTATTGCTAAGCTTCTTGCCTGATTTAATAAGTTCCTTTAGCTTGAATCTTCCCTCGGTAGATCTCCAGCCATATTTATTAATTAAACTAATCTGATTTGAATGGTAGACTTGTGTGGAACTGAAGATGTGCTCAACCTGTTTCATTTTCCTGCTTATCATTAGTGTGCTTTGGTGTTGCCTGAAGATGTGTCCTATTTTTTTTTTCTTTCTCAGCTGGTGGCGCTTTATCTTTTAGGCTTTCTTTTTGTGTATATGGTTCAGGTGAAGGAAAGGGTGGTGGTATTGACTATTGAGAAATACAGATAAACTAGCTATGTTTGTCGTTGCTAATGAATGAAATCATAGATTTCAAAATAGGGATGCATGAAGCTTTGAAATGCATGGCACTGGCTCTCTGTTGACAGTTCATTTTGTGACATTGAAATGGATTTTCAGCGAGTGTATGAACAATGTACAAAATATGAGGTTCATAATCTTCTCATCCTTATGACAGGCTACAGTATTGACACATCCTTCTGGCTGTGCCAAGATTGAACACGTGCATGGGAGAGGGTGGGGCTGGCTTGGTACCTTAGGAATCATGTAAGAGTAAAATTTTTTCCTGAACGTTAATACCAATGGGATTTTCTATGTCTACTGTTGAAGTTTTTCTGAGTCATCTTAATTGATTGATAAGTTGATAACTTATCTGGATTTCAGAATCTTATGCCTTTTTGGAGCTTATCTGCTGGTTGGGGCAGGTTATCGATATATCAAACTTGGAGTTCGTGGAATACACGTATGTTCCTCAATTAGATCAGCTTCTTTTTGTTCAAAAAAAAAAAAAAGATCAGCTTCTTGCATACAAACCATTTAGTTATGCTTGAGTTTGTCCATTCATGTGTCTTGAATTTTTTTTATGCATAGCTCCATCTATTTGCTGTGTATCAATTTGAAATGGAATTCAAGTTTTCTTAAATTTATAGAGGAAAAACTAATATATGTCAAGAGTCAGGTAAAATGGTGGTCATGAATTAGGCATAGGAAACTTGGTGATAGATATCAAACAGTGGTTGGTCCATTGAAGGAAATGTTGAAGGGGAGAGAGAACCAAATTGCATGATCATTACGGCAAAAGGGAATTCAAATTTGTAAGAGTCATGAAATAGGGAATCCGCACGTTCCTTTTACCATTATTACTATAAATCCATATGCCATGTTGGGGACAAAACTATTCTTTATTTTTTTTATTTTTTATTTTGGCAGCATACCATTTCGAAATGTGACATGTTAGATCTCATTGCAATGGCGGAAAATATCTTAATTGTTACTAGTATTCTGGAATCTGGGCAAGGTTCCAAAGTGTTCCTTCAGTGTTTACGTGATGGGAATTTAACTATGATTTGGTGCTTCTCCTCTTTACAGATTATACCAAACTTGGACTTTTGGACCGGCTTACCTCAAACTACACAGGTATTCTGCTTAGGTTTACTGATCTGTCTCTTTCCACCGTACTTCTAGTGACTGGGCACAGATATAAACAATTTTCAATTAGAATGCTTTTTTTTCTTCTTCTTAAGGTGTCAAGATATTGTTAATAATACCACCCTTTGTCTTTCCAGAGTTTGTTTGCATTCTTAATGCACAAATTTAGGGGCTCTTCTCATGGTCTTCGAAGCACCTATTCTCCTGTCGACTTTTGAGCATAGAGATATTTGTTTTAGTTCAAGCTGGTGAATTGATTTTGTATCATCTGTGCTCTGCCATCAACATTCAGCAAAAACAGAATGGATCAGTATGCGGCAACAGCCTAGTCAAAACTAGCACTTAAGCTTGGCATGCACCATCATATAAAGGGTGCCTTCTCCGTCTCACGTATGCTTTTCATTTTATTTTCCGTCACGAGTCATATATTTAGTTGCAACGTAAAGGAACCCTCCTTACCAAGTACTAGTTTACTTGTTATTTTCCTTCTACATTGTGTCAGCTGCTGTTCAGGCAATTTTGAATGTATTGGTTTCCACACGAATTTTAATATTTCTCCACATAAATTAAAAATATGAATACGTTAGATGTTTAGTGTCATGCATTATCTTGCATGTTGGAATGTATGGTAGTGTGCTACTATATCTTTGATATGATTTATTGAAGGTTAATATCTTGCATATTTACAGAGGCTGAATTGACGGATTGATTTAGATGTTTGATGAGATGCAGTTACTGAACAGATATATTTTTATGGTAGAACTATGTTATGCATTGATGCTTACTCAACAAAAAGCTATTGGATTTTGGATTAGTAGTATGGTGATATGATGGGAGAAAGGCTGTTTGGAGCGTTTCTCACCACAGAAACCCTCATGAATTGAAAATATCAAAGGCTTTACCTGATGTGCCATTATTTTCTTACTGATTCTGATGTGGCTGGCTAACAACATTGTCGAGGTTCTTTGAAAAGCACCAGAAAATGCAACAAGGGTGAAGGTTCTTAACCACAACTCTTTCATACATGAAGTCTGCCTCATTTTGATTTGGCCATTTGCAATGTGCTCTGTGTCTCTTCAGTCTCAGGTATGAATTTATTTGTCAACTTTTGTAATGAAATTTTATGTGTTTGGAAATTTTTTTGTACTTAGGAGGGATGAATCGTATTTTCTTGGTGAAGATTATCGAAATTTATGTACTGTGAACTCTTCCTTTGGTATCTTTCTTCATATTTTGGTGAGGAAGTGAAGGGGGTTCTGGGGTTCAACAGCGAGAAAATTAATTTTTAAAAGCATTTACCGTGTGAGCTTTACAGACATAGAGAAAATCAAACTTTCTGTTTTGCGTCGATGCATGCATTTCTCACATTGTATTTTCTGAACTTTATTTATAGAACTTACACTAAAGTTGGATCTAAAACGTCCTTGCGTTGTCCCAATGTCATTAGAGGTCGTGGAACAATAGGAATACATTGACTTACCTGGGTCATAACCGGTGTCTGTGGGTTCTATTCCTTTCTTTGGCATCGGTTAAACCTCTTCTTCCTACGCCTATGGCTTCGGTTCCCCCTTGAGAGAGTCGACAAGGTTACAAGTTATTAGTTAGTCAATAATTGTAATTAATTAATTTTGGCCAAACTATGATTATTTGTTGTGATTAAATGTGAGGTGATCAGCTGAGCTGCTACTTCTTTGTTGTATTATTGAGTACAGAATTAAGAAAGCCAAAGCAGGTGAATGCCAACCACTTTGAGCCTGAAATATTACCCACTTTCCAATCACCCTCCACCTAAAACTAATATTTCATCTCTCTCTCTCTCTCTCTCTCTCTCTCTCTCTCTCTCAAAGTAGAGAATTTGATAGACACTATTACTTATAATCATGCACCTGTAGTAGTCTCACCCACTCCGCTCCACTTGTATTCTTGGAATTCAGTTTTTCTTTTGGGACCAGAAATGGTATTTGGTTTAATGATTTCCCATACACAGAAATGCCTGAGATGCAATTTACTATTCATTGGCCTACCTTTGGATATCATATCGGCTTCAATAGTAAGGGAATCAAACCACCACGGCGTTGCTAAGTGACTGGGGATGAATTTTAAACTCTATTTCACTTGGCACGTCTTGGGTTCAATTCCTAGCGCTGGTGAATCATCCAATGGTGATTAGGAGTAGGTTGAAATGCATCTGTGAGTCTTTCCAGCCTCTACAAGAGTGGATTGTCATAGCAAAACCAATAGTTGCTCTCCCTTTTAAAAATTTCTTCAATTTTAGATTTATTCCTCCTTTGCTACTTAGCACTATGGTCTAGTAGTATTTCTCTTTAAGTGAGATGTCTTATGTTTAATTATTAGCAAAGACGAATTTGAATCACATTATTACTAGCTAATTATAAGGCTAAGCCCACCCCTCCTATGTAGAGAATATAATTTGTTCAAGAAAAAAAAAATTACTCCTCCTTTTAAATCACTTAATTCATTTTTCTTTTTCTGTAACAACAGGATTAAAATTAGTGCATTTTTGCTCATCACCGTAACCATCTCGTTATTTACTAGGTGTCATTTCATTTTCACCTAATTATAGTTAATTTTTTTTTCAAAATTAAAAGGGAGCATTTATTGTGAAATATAACTATGATTAAGTGGAAAAGAAAAACTATGATTAAGTGGAATGACGCATGGTAGGTAATAAGGTGTACGGAGTCGACGTTGGTGCTGAGACTGCCGATTTTTAATATAATATTCCCGACCCAAATGATTCTTATATATTTGTTCTTCTCACGGACGATGAATCTGTATGGAGACCTCCATCTCATAATTTCCAATCCAAACTAAATCACACATCCAAACACAATTATACGATTTCACGAGACTAATGAAGCCACCGCCGTACTCCTCCTCCGCCGCCGTCTTCCGCAAGGCTAGACTCTCTCCCTACCTCTTCACCCTCCTCTCCTTCGTCCTCTTCGTCTCCGTCCTCTACGGCGCGGACCTCACCTGCATTTTCGGCCACCGTCAACTCACCACCAGCTCCGACCCACTCGTTATCAAAACCGTTGAGTCAACCTACCTCATTCCACCGAGTCAATCAATTTCCTATTGCAAAAATTTGAATATTTTTCAATTTACTAAATTGGGTTTTGCGTTTTGGGGCTAGGGAAGAAGAGGGAGAAGCTGCCGTTCGCCGTCGGCAAGACCGACGAAGGGTGCGACGTGTTCAGCGGGAGGTGGGTTTTTGACGAGTCGACTCGGCCGCTTTACGAGGAATCGGAGTGCCCGTACATTCAGCCGCAGCTGACCTGCCAAGAACACGGGCGGCCCGACAAGGACTACCAGAAATGGCGGTGGCAGCCCCACGGCTGCGATCTTCCCAGGTCAGTTGCTCAGTCGCTATAAAAAAAAAAAAGGCGTCAATTCCTCGTTTTAATCGGCGTTGTTTGGGGAAGTTGAGCCGATTTTTTGCTTTCCCTTTTGAGCTTTTACAAAAAGCATCGTACGACCGGAACTCTCCTCGTTCTGTATCCCTACGTACGTATCTCGTCACCGACAAACGAAACGGTTTTGTCCCTTTGTCCTTGTTTGACGAACCGGTTTTCCCAATCGAACCGGCTGGGTTGCTTCCAGCCGGCCGGGTCGACAGTTGTTTATACGCTGCCGTTCTGTTCCTGGGGAAATCGAGATCGCGTACATTCCTTCCATCTGTCGCCCGTTCGAGACAACTAAGGGACGGGGCCCACTGTTCCATAGAACAGCGGGGAAGAGGTGGGGCCCAAATTGTGTACGGGCTTACCGAGTGCCATAGTATGGGCTATTTAGAACGGCCCGGAGATAATCTAAAAGTGCTTTTAGGTATTAGAAGCATTTTCAAGAGAAGCACGTGACCATACTTTGATTTTTACTAAACATTTCAACGTGTTTATCATAAAATTACTTTTAACATAAGCGTTTATGAACATATGTACTTTTTAGAGATACAATCTCAAACAGGGATTAAGATCCTCTTTTGATCTCAGCCCACGGACCGAGCAATTAGAGCGTTCAAGAGAGAGAGATATGGACGTTGGACAGAGAGAGAGATGTGTTGTGTGAGGTAGGCCAATGGGATGGGCCAATGAAGACCAATAAAATTTAAGGTCTGGATTGCTCGGTTCGCAGGCTTTAGAGTTTGAGATCCGGAGAGGATCTAAATCCCTCAAACAGCCCCTAGTTGTACCACAATTGTCCTAACAAATTATAGTATGTTTAATTTATTCATAAACAGCCATGTTAAAATACATAATTTTACCTTCTAATAATTCTGCATATTTGTCACTGGTAGTTTTTATTTGGTGTTACAATGTCATTGGTATTAACATTAATTTGATAATCTTATAAAAATCATATATCCTTCGATGATGGATTTTTTCTAATTTACCAATAGAGTAACATGTATAACGTTCTTCTCACAAATTATGCAGCTTCAATGCCACATTGATGCTCGAGACGATACGAGGGAAGCGGATGATGTTCGTTGGAGATTCTCTGAACCGGGGTCAGTATGTTTCCATGATTTGTCTTCTCCACAAGCTCATCCCGGATGATGCCAAATCCATGGAGACCTTCGACTCAGACTCGCGAACTGTTTTCACAGCCAAGGTGACATTTCATTGACGTTTTCACTTTTTCTCATACTTCTCAAATGTACATTGACGTTTTACTGACTCATTTACTATTCTGTGTTCCATAATGTGCAGACATACAATGCCACAATCGAGTTCTATTGGGCGCCGTTTCTGCTTGAATCAAACTCGGATAATGCTATCGTCCATAGGATATCTGACAGGATTGTAAGGAAAGGGTCCATCAATAAGCACGGCAAACATTGGAAGGGCGTTGATTTATTGGTGTTCAATACTTATCTGTGGTGGATGACCGGCGTGGAATTTAAAATAATGTACTTTCTTGCCCCTATCAAATTATAAATTACTTAACTCTCTCTTCCTATATTGCTTAAAAAAATGTCTAATTGCTGAAATTTTAATTTTCAGACTAGGTTCCTTCAATGATGAGGTGAAAGATATTGTGAAGCTGCCAACGACAGAGGCTTATCGTATGGCGATGAAAACTATGTTAAGATGGGTGCGGAAGAACATGGACCCCAAGAAGACAAGGGTCTTTTTCACTAGCATGTCACCTTCTCATGGAAAGTGAGCACAATTCTCTCAACACTATTTATTCAAATCATAAATATAGCATTCAAAATTGTGATGACCCCGATGCGTAACTTGTGCTTGAAGTTTTCACAAGATTAAGGTGGACTGACATTTGATATTTGGCAGTGGTATAGAATGGGGAGGTGAACCAGGAGGTAACTGTTACAACCAGACTACTTTGATTGAGGATCCAAACTACTGGGGTTCAGATTCCCGGAAAAACATAATGGAGGTAATTGGAGATGTATTTAGTAAATCGAAGGTGCCCATTTCTTTTCTCAACATCACGCAACTCTCAAACTATCGCAAGGACGCCCACACATCAATCTACAAGAAGCAGTGGTCCCCTCTGACTCCCGAGCAAATAGCCAACCCTGTTAGCTATGCCGATTGCGTGCATTGGTGTTTGCCTGGCCTTCAAGATACTTGGAACGAGCTTCTGTTCGCCAAACTTTTCTATCCTTGATCATGGTCCAAAGTGGTGAGTTCTCATCCTCTGCCCTTTCAAGATGGTCATTGCATGGTGAGATCTAGCTGGTGGCAAGGAATAAGTGTAAATTAGTTATCCATGAAAAATTTGGCATGGAAGATAGATAGATTGAATCCTGCTTTGAAGTTGAAATGTGAAAAATGAAAATTTTGTTATGAAATTTGAGGTTTGTGAAGGAGAATACTTGAGTATAGTAATTAATTAAAAGTGTTGATGCACAAAACCGGAGGGTCTTGGAACAACGTAAATCCAACCGTGAATCTGCAAGAGAGTAAAGAACACAAGATGTATCGTGGTTCACCTCAATGTTTGGGCTACGTCCACACTGATATTGATTGTATTTCTCTCTAACTGTATGTATGGATTACAAGGGTGAGGGGGAGTTCCCCAGAGAAAGAGAGAGTTTGAGAGTAGGGATTGTGGTGAGGATGAGACCTCTGTTTAGAGGATGTGAGGCTTGAGGATTGTGAGGGTGAGGAGTCTCTTTTATAGAGTAATGACTCCTCACTTATTACATATTTGCCCTCTTCATTTATTACATAATTATATTTGAGTCTCTTAAGTATTTATACGAGGTCTAAATACGAAGGCCCAAAGTATAGTATAAACAAAAAGAAAGTAGAGAATTATCACATTGTTTTCAAGGGCACTCTGTTCGAGTCATGTTTCGTAGACGGCTTTGAAGCCAAATGACATTGTATTTTTTGCAAACCATCAGGTATCACTCACTGATCAACTTCTAAAAACATGTTGGTACTGTTGGCCACATATGCCTCGTACGTTGTCGTTTTTGATAGTCAAACTTGAGACCTTTCTCTAATATATAATCATAGCTTCTAATTTTACAAAGGAAAATAAGGGGATGATTGAGATTTAATTTTTCAAAAGCCACTAAGGGAAAAAGAAGTTATATCACACAGAGGGGACGTTGAGGGGGAGTGAAAGGTGCAGTCGCATATAACCTCAAATTTGAAGGGGCCTCCAAAATTTTGCCATCTAATATTATGTAAGGGAGACTTTGGATGCGGTCCCTAGTTATGAATAGTCTTTGACTGAAACCTTGTTGGTTTTCAATTTTTGATCCAAGTCCCTGAAATTAATTGATAATTTATTTCTATGTACGTTACTATATTTTTTAAATTAAAAATTAAAATTTATAGTTGTTTATAGTAATGAGATTTTAAATAAAAAACCATAATTTGTGGGATTAAAAATATTAAAATATAAATATACTATTGTGTGTGTGTGTGTGTAAACATGGGTACATTCATAAAAAATAACCAAAAAATTATTGTATCAAAACATGGGTACATTCTTCAAAATGGGTACATTTAGCAAAAATAAAAATGGGTACAAATAAATAAAAAAATATGGGTACAATACAAATAAAACTTTAAAAAATATGGGCACAAAAAGAAATTAATATATGGGTACAAATTAAAACTGAAAGGAAAATTGGTACAAATTAAAAAAGGGTTGCAAATTAAAAATGGGTACAAACTAAAAATAAAAATATATGATAAAAAATTTAGCCATAAATATAAATATACTAATTGTAATATTTTTAATATTAAATGAATATATTTAGAAATAAAAAATATTTTATTATTGAAATAATTAATGATATTATTAATACAAAGACCTTGATCAAAAATTAAAAAGTAATAAGGTTTTAATCAATAGAGTAGTAAAAATAAGGATGAAAACCTAATTACTCCATTATGTAATAATGTTTTATATTTAGAAAATGAATCTTTTTAGCATTTTAAAATCTCATTGCATTCCTTATAAGAATAATTTTTTTTCCTTTTTAAATATAAAAAGGTAATGCTAGGAAGATTAAACTAAATGATGTATCACTAATAGGAAATGAACACATATATCAACGCTTAAATAATAATCCAATCATCAATTCATGTCTAATTTACAAAATTTTGTCTACAAATTTAGTCACTCTAGCATTACTCAATATAAAAATTTGGAGTACAATGAGATATTCTAATTGTCAATAATAACACCCAAAAAAACGATGGTTTTTTAATTTTATTATAGAACAATATCACGTATTCAAGTGAAATTATAAAGTTTAGAGTTTTGAAGTTTTTATCCATGTTTGGTTGTTTAAGATTGAACTGCTTTTGATTGTTTAATGAAGGTTATGTTTGCAGTTTTTTTATTTATGATTAATGATATTTGTAAACTTGCAATCAGTGAGTGCTTAAGTTTGTTTTAATTTAAGTGATTGTTTTCAAACATCAATACATTGTTCTAGTTTTTTTTAAACTATCTTAAGGAGGGGTCATTTTATAAATTTCGTAAAATGTCCCCGAAATCTCAGAGACGGCCCTGATAGCACAAAGCAACCAATTGGTCTCTGGCCGGCAACAATCTTCTCAAGGGACGGCCAAAACATAGAAGAGAAGGTGTACATTCTGGCTTTGCACCCGCAGCACCTTCAGCCAGTGTTGGTGCCTGCGGCAGCGCCTTGTGAGTTTCAGTTGGAGCTAAGAGTCAAGATGCGGGCGGGTTCATCTGACGAGCCGAGTTGCTAGGGTTGAGACAATGAAGTCGATAACCAGCAAGTGCACAATTTTGTTAAGAGCTCATGAGTAGAACTTAAACCAGCTTGTAAGTGAAGCGTTGCCCAAGAACTCTTATAACACTTTCAGATTCTCCATCTTTCTGATGTTAGACAATTTAGTCCTAACAAATTTGAGGACACCGCAACCCATTATCATTGGAATATGACCACCATCTTCCTTGTCGTACAAGGCATCCACTTTAAATAATTGATTGCTACTGTACTTATCAACTTCCATTCTCTTCACTCACTTATGTACTTCTCGTGTTTTGTTAACTAAGTAATCAAAATTAGAGAACCATTCCAAAGCATTAAAGTGAGGGAGAAGGAACTCGAAGGATAAGGCTGCGAAAATTCCAACTAGTCTCCTATGGGACCAAAATGAGTGGATAACCGTAATTCACTACCAGTTGTCCTCTTTTTTATTAAAAAAAAAAAAAGAGAAGGAACTCAAACAGACAAAGTGCGAGTGTACAAAATCAATGCTTTAGAATATGAGTTTTGGTTATACTTTTGGGTGTGGGATTCTCAATCTAGGTTTTTTAGAACAAAAATCTACTGCTTGGATCTTGTTCAAAAATCAAAAGGCAAGGAAATTAAGGAGTACATAAGGAAATTTTACCACACATCAAATACTGTAATATAATGTAGATTGCGTATCATCAAAAGTGGAAACTTATTAGGAAACATCCAATATTATTTCTATATAATCATTATCTTCTTTCTTCATCGACAACCTTAAACCCTTGACATGAAAAATCTTAATATATACAGATTCAAAAAAAGAAAGAAAGAAAAAAAGGTACAGCACCAGAAGCCCATGCATGCAAATAACGAAGCCACCAACTACTGTTGTGCGGAAGTGTCGCCTCTCTCACCACCTCTTCACAGTGTTCGCCTTGCTTCTCTTTTTGCCGTCTTTTTTTTCGGCGAGGATTTGACGTACATTTTTTACGTAGAGCTTCAACTCGGCCCCACTGCTGTCCGAATTATGGGGTTAGAGACGAAGAGGGAGGAGCTGCCACCGTTCGCCATAGGTAAGAACGAGGAAGGGTGTGGCGTGTTCAGCGGGAGGTGGAATTTTGACGAGTCGACTCGGCCGCTTTACGAGGAATCGGAGTGCCCTTACATTCAGCCGCAGCTGACCTTCCAAGAACACGGGCGGCCCGACAAAGTACCAGAAATGGCGTTGGCAGACCCACGGCTGCGATCTTCCCAGGTCAGTGGCTCAGTCTCTAAAAAAAGTCGTTTTAATCGGCGTTATTTGGGAAAGTTGAGCCGATTTTTCGCTTTCCGTTTTGAGCTTTACAAAAGCATCGTACGACGGGAACTCTCCCAGTTCTCTCGATCCCTACTTACAATCTCGTCACCGAGAAACAAAACGGTTTGAAAGGCCGATTGCAATCTTATACAACATGTTTTTTTTTTATCCTTCTTTACGATACAAGTACACAGTTCCTGTGTTCTCGATATATTTGCGTCCTAAATTGGGAGAAACAAGGACCTCGAACACTTAATTTTCGTCTCCTAGAACTGAAACAATGACGCATTTTCTTCATCCTTGATGAGCTTTTGTGGTGTAGTGTGGGGATATTAATGAAGGAGCAAGTAATTTGAGCCAAGCTGCACGACCAACATTACAATTTTGTATCGAAAGCTTGTATATACATCTGAGTTGAATGCGAGACATGCTATACTAGTCATTAACCCAATTTTACAATCGATTAAAATCCCAACATTCGAAAAGAACATTGCATTGGATGTAAAACGCGCTAATTCCTCGTTTTCTCCATTTTTTACTAGGAACTTAAGCGAAATCATTCCCACATTTTTTTTCTTCTGTTTATTCAATTAAAAAAAAAAATAAATAAAAGTTATAAAATTAAAAATAAGTGTGTAGAAATCAAATCTTATTAGTAGTTACAGAGTCTTATTTTCTTTGTAATATGTAGGCCAACTGCCCAATCCGTTGTGAGCCTATAGAGTTGTAGACCTTACAAAATTCCTCAAGGTGCCCACAAATATTTGGACCCTAATCATATACTTTTGTCACTTAAGAGCTAAACAACCATAATTTATGTTTCTTGATGTTGGATTATTATTATTTTGTTAACTTGATGTTGGATTATTGATTGTAAAATGTACAATATCCTTGTGGCAACAAATTCCTGCAGCTTCAACGCCACTTTGATGCTCGAGACACTACGAGGGAAGAGGATGATGTTCGTCGGAGATTCTCTAAACCGGGGTCAATTTGCTTCCATGATTTGCCTTCTCCACTCATTTATCCCCAGTTATGCTAAATCTATGGAATCCTTCGATTCAGACTCATGAACTGTTTTCACAGCCAAGCTGATCAAGTGTTTCATTATTTTGTTTCATACCAAATGAACAAAGTTGTTCCTGTTTTACTGAATTATTTGTTGAATAATGTAAAATATAACTTATGTTCGAGTGGTTTCACTTTTAATTGCATGTGTTAAAACCGCACACCAACTAGCTAACATGTAGCGAAATTGAGTGATATTAGCTCAGAGTGCCGGAGCCGCAAAACAAGCGCTTTCCACCCACGCAAGGACGTTGTTGGCAGGAACAATATCTGTGCTTGACTCATTAATAGTGGACCGTTGAGCATCTTCTGT